CTGAAGTCCTTCCCAAGGACCCGGGAGAGGCAATGTTTGATGGCCTTAAAGGTGTCATCACAGGATGTAAGCTTTTCTGGGTGAAGCTGCCTTTTGCAATTGACTGATGGGGATTTTGTCAAATGCGACTGATATTCTTATTGATTTCATGTGTCAAGTTTGCCATGAGATGCCAATAAACGCGAAGCGCTTAAACCAAACACAGTGTGAGATTTCACGGACAAATGTGCCTACTACAAATGAGAAAGGCAGAACGAGCCACGTCTAATATCTACAGAGTTTAGCTCTTCTTGTTTCTTTCCTTCCTTCACAACTTCTGGAATTTCATTCCCACCTTTCATCCAAGAGGGTGGAGGGGGAAAAGCGTGGCTGGACAGACAGCGAATCATATCCAGTCCTGCCAGGCCCCCTTCAGTGCAAAGAGGTGCTTCTACTCAAAAGCAAATCCTTTGGGGTGCATATCTACACACACACACACACACACACGTCATAGCAAGGACAAACCAAAACAGACATGAATTAGATCTAATGGATGAGTTTGGTAGCTATAGAAATTGATTGATTGACCAATAATCAGGAGTAGGCAACCTTGGCCTTTTTACGACTTGTAGACTTCAACTCCCAGAATTCCTGAGCCAGCACGGCTCGGCTTGGAAACCTCTCCCTGTCCCCTCAGCATGGCTGGCTCAGGAATTCTGGGAGTTGAAGTCCACGAGTCATGAAAGAACCAAGGTTGCCTACCCCTGGACCAATTGAATGAATAAATAAATAATATGGAATTTGCACCCTATGTTTTTATGTATGTTTTCTCCACAAGAATGAATTCTTGGCTCTATAATGTATTGAATCATTCCAGGCTTGCAGTTTCCTTCTTTTAGCAGGATTACACGACAATATTGAAAGTCCATGTAAAAACTACAGAATTCCTCCCTAAGAAGCCAGAACTGTTTTTCCCTTGACAGAGGTAAAATTTGCCGTGTGCTCAGAGAAAGGCCGATGATATAGTCTCGGCTTTAGAATTTAGTTCAAAGTCAATTTCACTATTGTATTCAGAGGAATCCCAAAGTTTAGGCTTTGGGCAAAAGCTTCATTATTTGGGACAGAGTTGCGGGTGGCTTCCTTATCCGCCTGCTACAAATGGTCTCACCAGAACGTTCTTCTTTTCATTGGATCGTGATGTCAACGCTGCAAATACTGTATATTCTTGCTTTGACAATATGCAGAACTGTCTGGTATTTTTAGGGTTAATGCAGAGCAGAAGAGGGTGGGGGGAAAAGCCTGGGAAAGAAAGAGGAAGGAAACCTTTGACCTTCACATTAATTGGATAACGTGATATATGACAGCTAATTTAAGGAGGGAACATGCTGATAATTTAACTGCTCAGAGGAAATGAATTTCAGTTCTTAGCATCAACTTCGTTGTGCCTGTGCCGACATTTTGTAACAATAAATTTGGTTGAAGTTCAAAGAACAAGAGATTGAGCTTGTCTGGATACCGTAATCTTAAACACGCGAGACTGAAATGTTTGATCAATGGAGTTCAGGGTCCTAACTACTGACACATCTGCACCTGCTGAGATAGCTGGGTGCATCCAGGGCTGCTGGGGTCTGTCTGGCTGTGCCAGCTCGCCTTCACCTAAGGCAGGGGTAGGCAACCTTGGCTCTTTTATGACTCGTGGACTTCAACTCCCAGAATTCCTGAGCTAGCCATGCTGAGGGGAAGGGAGAATTGAAGTCCACGAGTCTGGGAGTTGAAGTCCACGAGTCATAACAGAGCCAAGTTTCCTATCATCTAGGCCAGGGTTAGGCAACCTTGGCTCTCTTATGACTCGTGGACTCCAACTCCCAGAATTCCTGAGCCAGCATGGCTCAGCTTGGAAACCTCTCCCTTTCCCCTCAGCATGGCTGGCTCAGGAATTCTGGGAGTTGAAGTCCACGAGTCATAAAAGAGCCAAGGTTGCCTACCCCTGGCCTTAGGCAAGAGGGAGCAATTATGCCAGCATTGGGAAAATAAAATTACCCACTTGTTGAGAGTGCTTATTTGAACCAACACACTCCTGTTGTGGACCTGGGTTTTCGTCCCTATCCAGACATTTTAACCATCTGCTTCCCACTCTATGAAGGGGAACGAACCCCCTCAAGAGAGATGATTTGTACAAGGGCTCAGAGCTTTAAAGTACAGCTTTTCTTTTCCTTAATTACACTTTGTTTAGAAACGTTGAGCTCCCAAATAAATAATAATGTTTTCTTTATAATCGGGTGGCTCTTATGCTTTCTTTAACTCTCTGGTGGGGAAAAAAAAACCTCACTGTTTATTCAGGGAAATGAAAGTCAGCCATCGTCTATTTTGCACATAGAGGAGTCAAAAAAAAAAAAAAGGCCCTGGAAGGAATCACATCTGATTTAATATCACTTTTTAGATACGAGCCTGCAAAGAATAACCCAGGCACTAGCAGCTGTTTTTAGTCAATGCTAAACCAGGGATAAACCAAGATGGTTGAAAGTTGTGCAGGGTGGCACATCAGGATGCACTGGGGAGAAGGAACCCCACCAGAGCAGCTTCATTGCCCCCCAAAGCAGGCAGCCCTCTGGCTGGGCCAAGTATGATCCCAGTGGAGGAGAATTAAAGCCGCACAATCAACATAGCGCCTTGTGCGCCTTGGGTGTGTAGAATCGGGACCATAGCAACAGCTCCTCTCTGGGAAAAAGCATTTTCTACCTAATAATACCGGGTCATCACCTGTAACTTAAACATCTATGTACAGTAGTGGCCAAAATTGTGGAAACCTGTTGGGAAAAGTGTATTTTTGAGGTTTGATGGCTAATAACACCACTTTTTTGGGGGGGAGTAGTACCATAAAATTACATATCAACGGAAAGATAATTTAATCAAGAATGTAATGCAACATACGTTTGTTCAATTATCTGTACTGTATTCTATGAAAAGTGATAGCCAAATAACCAGAAAAAGGAAGCACCACTTGGTTAGGTTGATCTCAGGTAGCTTTCCTTCACCTGATGGTAGCCAATGAGCACAAGTGTTTAGAGAGCCAATTGGGTGTCATCTTGTTTTGGCAATGAGCCAATCAGATCACAGTAGGATCCAGTTATTGATGTCATGTATTGAAGCTGAGAAGAGGACATTGGTCAGTGTGTTATGTGATGGCTATCAAGTTGGTTGAGGTTTTTTTGTGTTCTTTCATCGAGTGAGCTTGTAAAACATAATAAAAATTAAAGTCATGGTGCAAAGAGTTGCCCAGAAAGCGATGTAAAATAGTATTATGAAGTGAACAAGGCTACAGTTATAAAGAAATTAGAAGAAAAATTGGGTGGAAACCATTTAACTTAACCAAAGATGGAATTTCTACTGTACACTTTTCCCAAAAGGTTTTCACAATTTTGGCCACTACTGTAGAGTATTAATGCGCGAGCTGCCTCAGCCCCTCCAGTCACTGGTTAGTGATCTGGAGCATGAGATCATTCAGAGATTGGAAGGGGCATGTTTTATTAATGGCTGTATTTTTTAAAAAAAAATTCTTTTAAGAAAGCAGCACAGCTGTATCACATTGTCTGATGTATGCTGGATAGCCAGCTTTGGAAAGTATTATTAACTCAGGGTATAAAATCAATGCTTATAAAACTGCAAGTCTTTCGCATTTCGAAAGATAAATGGCTGTTAGCTACAGAGGAAAAAAAGAACAAGGAATATGGAACCGTCCCATCAATCTCAATGAGCGCGCGTGCATGAGCGCGCGCGCGCACACACACACACACACACACACACACACACACACACACACAAACAGTCCAGCGGAACAAACAAGCTAATTATTGCTTCATTTATATATATCTATATATCTCTAACTCTAACTAACTCTAACTCTAACTCTAACTCTAACTCTATCTGTCTGTCTGTCTGTCTGTCTGTCTGTCTGTCTATCTATCTATCTATCTATCTATCTATCTATCTATCTATCTATCTATCTATCTATCTATCTATCTATCTATCCCTACCTACCTACATCTATCTATCTATCTGTCCGTCCGTCTACCTACCTACCTACCTACCTACCTATCTACCTATCTGGAAAAAAATTACCATATATATATATACATATATGGCTAGAAATAGAGCTAAAAATCCGACTCTTGGGTAAGTCCATGTTATGTCAAAATAATTGCGATCACCAAGAGGGGGTAAAATATTTATAAGCAGTTAAAAAGTTTAAAAACAATTTAAAAGCAGTAAAACATTATTAAAAATTATAGGCAACCAAGCTTTCGTCGGGCCCTCCCGACATCTTCAGGGTTGCTAAGGCGGTTTTTGGGAGAGTTTATATAGTGTTTTCAAATGCCTGCATCCGGCTGCGCGATCGCGTGACCCGGGCCCCGGTATATGCGCTCCTGCGCGGTACCTGTCTTCCTTTTACCCACGTGTAAACGTTTTGCCTTCCTTCCCTGCTTACCATTATGAGGCTCCTGGCTGTCCTCATCAGGGATCATTTGGGGTTCTTTCTTACATCCCTTATCCACTTCAACCCCCTCATCCTTCCCCTCCAAGCCATCCGTCCCTTCCCTCTCCTTCATACCACCATCAATCCCTCTTCTACCTCCCTGATCATATATATACATATATATATATATATACACACATAATTATTTTTAAAAGGCAACCAAGAGCCAATCAGATCTTTAAAATATTCCCCATTGGTGCCCTGTTGATTATCTTGCTTAATTGTTAGAGCTTCGAGCTAATAAAAGCTTTGGAGAAATGAGAGAAATCAGAGGCCAGCCCTTCATTTTCTGACAGAAGAAACAAACATGGGTGGAAGTCAAAGCCCATCAAAGGATTAAACTGGCGATGATGAAGCCTTTCCAGGGACTTGAGAGCCTTCCAGGCCCACCCCACCCCCCAGCCAATTCCTTGCAAAAGTCTTTGAAGGCTCCCCCACTGAATTGTTCTTCTTTATTAGATAAGCATTTCATCACGGGCTCTCTTACCTTTCATAATGTCTGCGTGTGCAGGTGGCTGCACTGGTGCTCCCGGGGTTTCCACCTAATTTGTCATAAATATGTTTCCATTGTCGACGGGCTGTGATCTGCAAAAGTGGCAACGGAAAATTTAATCCAGCATCTTCACAGACTCTGTGTGTGTGTGTGTGTGCGCGCGCGTGCAGCAACAAATGTACATGTGAGACATATGGGACAGCAGGAAGCACAAGCCATAAAGCCAGTGCAGAATGGGTTAATATGGATCCCTACAGTACACAACATTTTGCAGTACGCAACATTTATTTCACCTACCTCTATTTTTTTTTTCTGGAATTGCATTTTGTTTCTGCCTCTTTAGTAAGCAGTCTGACTATTTTATGTATGCAATTTCTTGGGGGGGAAAAGCATTCACTCACTGAGAGCATTAACCATTAAAATGCTTTCAGAGAAAGCTCTTGGTAAATTATAAATAGGAATCCCAAACTCAGCATAAATAACGATTACAGAATTACTTTATTGAGTTAGTGACAAGGAACTATGGATGGAAGCCTCAATCCATCACATTCTCCAGTAAATCCATCCAGAAATATAATTTGTGTAACTTGATACAAGCTGTTTATTTTTCACTCATCTGGGCTAGTAAAATACATAGATCAAACGGTAATGAAATCTAAACACTCTCTAAGATTAATATCTGAACTATGTTCTTGAATTGGCTAAATAAAAGAAAACAAACATCTGATAAACATGTTAAATTGCAAGCTATGACTTTTATGTGTGCCATCTTTGTGCAAGAAATAGGATTAACAGAGAAACAGATGGAAGACGTGGCAAAGGAACTGAACGGGGGTCTTCATTATTTTATACAGTCCAAACTACTTTAAAATAGGACAGGAGGGGAAAAAAGCTTGATCAGATCAGAACCAAAGGAAATCAATACCCAAAGTTGTTAAATTGGGAGAGTAGGTGGGTGAGTGGGAGAGGTGTTGTAATTTTAATCTAAAAAGGAAGATGAATGGGAGAATTAATTAGTATTGCATAGAATAAATGGTGCCTTTCCTGTTCTGCATAAAGATAAAATGCTTTCTTTGCAAAAAAGCAAGCATCAGAAGCAAAACAAATGTTACTTGGTATATATTATAATTTCAGACAAACAATGTTATCTTTGTTTTTTTCCCCCATTAGTCATAATCACTACCTCTTTCGGATGGAGATTAAATCAAAATGCCTCTTTATTCAACCGTGACAAGAAGCAAGGGATGGAAACTAATCAAGGAGAGAAGCAACCTAGAACTAAGGAGAAACTTCCTGACAGTTAGAACAATTAACCAGTGGAACAACCTGCCTCCAGAAGCGGTGAATGCTCCAACACTGGGAGGTTTTTAAGAAGAGACTGGACAGCCATTTGTCCGAAATGGTATAGGGCAGTGATGGCGAACCTTTTAGAGACCGAGTGCCCAAACTGCAACCAAAAACCCACTTATGTATCATCGGGTGCCGGGTGGGCGTGGCCCATTGGGTGGATGTGGCTGCAGTGGTAACAGCAGATTGGGTGGGACTAAAAAGTTCAATCAATCAATTCCAACTTTGCAAGATCTTTTATTTCCCACGAGAAGTTGAAATTGATTGATTGAACTTTTTTTTTTTTTTGCACACGGCGGCGGAGGCCTAAAGCGAAAAGGTTTTATAAAACCCAGCTAAAGGCCTAGCACTGGGGCGACGGCGCATGCCCACAGAGAGGGCTCTGAGTGCCGCCTCTGGCATCCGTGCCATAGGTTCGCCACCACGGGTATAGGGTTTCCTGCCTGAGCAGAGGGTTGGACTAGATGACCTCCAAGGTCCCTTCCAACATTATTATTATTATTATTATTAATAATAATAATAATAATAATAATAATAATAATAATAATAATAATATTTGAGGCTTGTATATGGGCAAACTACATATTTACCTATATCTTTTTTTTTCCTAGCCTGGCTTGGTATGGATGAAGGCTCACTAAACATGCCTATGGGATATTTTGCCAGGACTAGGCCAAGACACGACCTCTGGGCTTTGCAACTGGTCTTCTATGCCCACTGGACTCTGACTGCAAGCGAGGGAAGGATTTGTGCTTCCAGAGATGGTGGCCTTGTACACCAACACAAAAGGTTGTGGGGAGGTGGGCGACTCTTTCTGCCTCTGGGGCAGGGGCTCCTTGAAAAGAGGGGACAGTGATGAACAACAGGCTTCAGTGCAGGCCTGGTGCAGGCTTCAGTGCAGGCCTGGTGCAGGCCTCAGTGCAGGCCTGTTGCAGGCCTGTTGCAGGCCTCAGTGAAGTGGGCTCCCCATTCATTCTGTGGGTGAGGCCGCTTTGTTTTCATCCCATTCGTGCAGGGAGCTGTTTCCTTGAGGGAAAGGAACTGTGGGTGCTGCCCAGCATCCAATTCCTGCAGGATTTGCAAGAGAAGGAGGAGAGACAGGCTTGTTCTCACTTCTGCAGGCAGCCATAAGCCATGTCTTGTGGGCAATATAATCCTCAGGCAGAGCACTGCAGACAATCACCTCACGTGTTGTAACATATTTGGGGGAAAAAAAATCATTTCTGGGATGCCAGGTCTTGCATGTTTATCCCCAAATCATGGATGAGGTGAGAAAACTGGGATTCGAAGTCTCTGAAGTCACTCACTTGATAATTAAGGCTGCGTGTCGAACCCTGGTTGTTTGCATTTTTGTCTTTGCATTTTTGTCTCCTCAAAATGATCCTCGCTAGAAAATGGATTCCACCATTTAGAGAAGGTTCCAAACACCTTCAGACGGAGACACCTGGAACACGGGATTCTGGCCTAAACCCCTTGCAAATGAAACTCTCCTATTTGATAGTTCTTTTCGTGTACAAAATTGAATGAATTGAAAATAAATATACAATTAATCCCCAATATAGGAATTGTCCTGTTTTAAATATGCATGGAATTTTGGAACACCTCATAAATTTGTCTTCGGCTGGTGGGCACGTAGTATATAACATAATCTCTGACAATTTCCATTGTGACAATATAAACACTGTACTTGGCTTTAATTAAAGGTGCCAATACCACTTCATGGTTGTGTTTGTATTTGCAAAACAGGCTGTCACAACTTCCTCACGTGCTGTTTCTGAAATGCACATAATTCAAAGCCATGGTGTCTTCCCTATTTTTCTCTCTTGAATTATTGCCTTCTTGTCGTTCAGTTGCCTCTAATGCTTCATGATGGAAACTAATCAAGGAGAGAAGCAACCTAGGAGAAACTTCCTGACAATTAGAACAATTAGCCAGTGGAACAACCTGCCTCCAGAAGCAGTGAATGCTCCAACACTGGAGGTTTTTAAGAAAAGACTGGACAGCCATTTGTCTGAAATGGTATAGGGTTTCCTGCCTGAGCAGGGGGCTGGACTAGATGACCTCCAAGGTCCCTTCCAACATTACTACTACTACTACTACTACTACTACTACTACTACTACTACTACTACTATTGTTAGTTTCTTTTTTTCTGTTTTTTTTCCCTTCCAGTGAATAAAAGTTATGTGCTATTACAGCATTGGAATAGATGCTTATTAAAATCAGACCAACCCTAAAACCGAGTTTGAAAAGCTTTCGGGAACAGAAAAATCTATTCAAATTTCCTCCTAAGAGTTAAGTGGATGGAGGCTGCTGAAGGCTCTATAAGGAATGGAGTTCCTTAAAATTACAACAATTGAGAAGCTGAAAGGATGACAAAAGAGACCAAGAGTGGGAGCGTTCCTCTGATTCTACTGGCTTAATTTGGGATTCCTGCCAATATTTAATCTCTGTTGCAAAATAGATGGTTTTTACCACCTTTACTGGTTGAGGGGGAAAAAAACTATGATTCCTGTACCCAAATGCCCACAGGCTCAATGCAACTTCAAATGTTGTCACAATTTGTGCTAAACAGAGCCAGAAATCCAAGCTAAGATTTCAGTTCAAGCACGCAAAATTATTGCTATGTTTAGAATCCCTTCCTGATCTCTTTCCAGTTTCCATTTTCCACTTTCCTTGTTTGGGAATCCATTCCTGCCTCTGTGACCCAGAAGCCTTTGGGGACAGGGTGATGGGAATCTTTTTGATTTGATCATTCAAAGGGACACCAATTTTTAAGCTGGCCATGAGTAACTCAGGCACCACCCCCAGTGAAAGTCAAGCTTCTTGCCGCGTGCTTTGGAACAGGGTGTTTGTTAATCACGGTATTTTCGTTTAATATTTCAAGCACGGCAATAACTGTATTAAACTTGCCGTTTTTTCTTCAAAGCATGCCCCACTAAATTTAATGGAGATGACTCCTGAATAAATAAGAACAGATTTAGCCAGACAAGTTGACTAAAACAAAAGGAACAAATGTCAATTAAAGGGCGAGCTAAAAAAACTGCTTGTGTGTGTTCATTATTTCCTGTAATAACAAAAGCATCGCAACATCCATCAGCAACATAGTTATTCAAACGAAACAATGATTTGGCTCTCTTGCTTAAATACATTTCATGTTTTATCTGTTATTTCATTTAACGTAAGGGCAGCCAAACTGTTATGTTTTCTGAACAAAGGCAAAACTAGGTTTTATATATATATATATATATCCAGGTACGCCTGGTGAGCATGTTTTGAATCCAGCTGCCTCAAGAACGCTCAAATTAATCCGAGGCAATGAAAACATTTCCAGGGATGAAACTTTTATGTCAACTGGATCTTGTTACAAATGCCATCTCTCTCTGCCGCATTAGGCAGTTCTTTCTTCTCCTTTTAAGATCTTAATCACGCTTTGTGACTCCCAATATTATACATGCTATAAAATCCACAGTCGTCAGTTTTCTCCACAAGCTAAAAATAAAGTCTCTGTGTCAGATATTGTTAGTTGATAAAAAGGATCAGTGCACTGTGTTCCCTCCCCAGTAATTTTGAACTTTAGATAACTTCCTGTTTACATGGCCTGACCCTTTTTTTTTTTTTGCAAAAGGCTGTTACAACTCAAAAACAAGAACAGACACTGCAGTATGCTACACTGTAATGGACATGGCTGATTGCTTTTTAAAGTATTTAATACATTTCCCATATTTGACAAGAGCAGATGTCAGGGACTGTGCCAAGGCAAATGTACTTTTACGCAATCTTGGCTGGTTGTAGAAGAATATCCCTCTCCTAACATAGGAAAAAATTACAGACCCAAACAATTTCCTTGACAAGGAAGAGTTACGTATGTTTTCCACTCAGAGTTGGGTTTTTTTGGTTTTCTTTCTTTCTTTTTTTTTTAACTACACGTTTACAGTTTTGCCAAGCCTGGAATTAATTCAGACTGTTTCCAAAAAAGAGAACCCCATAAATTTAAAGTGTTTTCTGCCGAACTGTGGTTTTTGGGATGATTTTTCTTTTGTATATTTAATGCACACATGGCAAAAACATGAGAAAATTAAGGGTGCACAATTTTTTTTCTCTCTCTGAAGTCACTTCAACACTTACTGTTTCATATCCTCCCAGTTTCTGAGCAGCTTGAAACATAGTCCAAAGGTTAACTGTTTAGAGGGACAATAAGCATTGAGATAAGCATTGCATTAACCATCTTTCCAAGAAAGGCAAATGAAACAATCTTTCTTTGACAACGAAGCAAGAAAAACAATAATCACATCCACATGTTGAGACAAAAACAGAGAAAACAGTCTGGGAAACACATTTACATAATTCAAAGTGCAAACTCTGCCCTTTGCACATATGCCATTCTTTTTTTAAAAAAAAAAAAACCACAAGGGGAACATTCTACTTAGATCCAGTTACAGGTATTAGAAAACAATTACTTCCTCCAGGATAAGAAATAATCAGTACTTGTCCCATTAAACAAAGGAAGCTTTGTTGAATGGGCTCCTAAATCGAAAACATTGATTAAGAACAGGGAATTTCCTTAAAGTGGCCTAACTAAGCAGTAATTGTGAGCGCAGATACAAAGCCAGAGAACAGCCTTGGCCAGGATCCAGAAGCCTCTTCCACCCAGCAGCCCATGTGCTCCTCCTGCCAGCACTGCACCTGGGGCAGGTAAGGGACAGATGGCCCTGGAGAGAGGCCTTCTAGGGCAGTGTTTCTCAACCTTGGCAACTTTCAGATGCGTGGACTTCAACTCCCAGAATTCTCCAGAGCTGGCTGGGGAATTCTGGAAATTGAAGTCCACGCATCTGCAAGTTGCCAAGATTGAGAAATACTGTTCTAGGGGAAGATTGGTTCTTCCAGGCAGCTCTGTCCAAGGTGTCTTCCCTCTGCATTAACAGAGGGATAGAATCAAGATCACGTGAAGTATTAATACCACTTTACAAGGCCTTGGTAAGGCCACACTTGGAATACGGCATCCAGTTTTGGTCACCATGATGTAAAAAAGATGTTGAGACTCTAGAAAGAGTACAGAGAAGAGCAACAAAGATGATTAGGGGACTGGAGGCTAAAGCATATAAGGAACGGTTGCTGGAATTGGGTATGTCTAGTTTAATGAAGAGAAGGACGAGGGGGGACATGATAGCAGTGTTCCAATATCTCAGGGGCTGCCCCAAAGAAGAGGGAGTCAAGCTATTCTACAAAGCGCCTGAAGGAGGGACAAGAAGCAACGGATGGAAACTAATCAAGGAGAGAAGCAATCTAGAACTAAGGAGAAACTTCCTGACAGTTAGAACAATTAGCCAGTGGAACAACCTGCCTCCAGAAGTGGTGAATGCTGCAACACTGGACATTTTTAAGAAGAGACTGGACAGCCATTTGTCAGAAATGGTATAGGGTTTCCTGCCTGAACAGGGGGTTGGACTAGTTGACCTCCACGGTCCCTTCCAACTTTATTATTATTATTATGATCATCGCACAGTCAGCCAGATGTTCAGACTGGATTTGGCATTTTGTCTACCTATCGAGTCCTTACCAAGGACCTTATTATTATTATTATTATTATTATTATTAATTATTATTATTATTATTATTATTATTATTATTATTATTATTATTATTTATTATATTATTATTATTATTATTATTATTATTATTATTATTATTATTATTATTATTATTATTATTATTATGGATCATCACACAGTCAGCCAGATGTTCAGACTGGATTTGGCATTTTGTCTATCCCGAGTCCTTACCAAGGACCTGGGATAGGCAGATGTGGATGTTTGATGGTATTACAGATGGAAGCAGTTCCTAGTAAGGCCGCCTTTTGCAATTGACTAATGGCGAATTTGTCAATGCCAATGGTGTTCAAGTGGTGCTCCAGTTGTTTTGGGATTGTACCCAAGGCGCCTATGACTATTGGTACTACCTTTGCTTGCTTTTGCCACAGTCTTTCTATTTCTATGTGTAGGTCTTTGTATTTTGTTATCTTCTCCAGTTCTTTCTCGTCTATTCTGCTGTCTCCGTTATTTCCCTCCAGAGCCACTAGATGCCAGAGCGGTGGTGCAAACTCCCCCCCCCCAAGATAGGATGTGGAAGGTTTCTCTAAGCTAAGGCTAGGGATGCTTGGAGGGTGGGGGGAGATGCTCTCAGCTTATGCCCTAAATTTTTAGACATTTTGGTTCTCAGCTCTGGGTGAAAAAATGTTTTCTGTGGAGAGCTGCCCTTAGAGCAGCGGTTCTCAACCTATGGGTCGCGACCCCATTTGGGGTCGATCGACCATTTCACGGGGGTCGCCAAGCAAGGCTGTCCGCCATTTTTTTCCCCTTTTCCGGCGGGTGCCTTACCTCCCTTGGGCTGGGCCAGCTGGTGGTCGGCCTGCTCCGTCTCTGCCGCTTGCCAGCTACGCCTCGGCCGGTGCAGGGGGCGGAACCACGCATGCGCGGTGCTCCCGGGCAGGGAAAGTCCTTGACTTACGACCGGTTGGGTAATCCTCGACTTACAACCGGTTTAGTCCTCGACTTACGACCGGTTTAGTCCTTGACTTACGACCGGTTGGGGGTCGCGGCATTAAAAAGGTTGAGAAGCACTGCCTTAGAGTAACCAAAGGCAGCAAAGGTCCCGCTTTTCTTTCCAATTATAATTGAGGCGTTCATCATCTGGAGCATGGCTGAGGTGGATGTGTTTCTGGGTCTGTTTTCTTGTGTCCAGCACTTGGCAGGAGCATTGCGAAGAGACCCCCCTGGAGAAATACTGGAGGGAGCCCTGGGAAAGGGTGGTCACCCCATTCCCTTGCGCTTGGTGATCCTGACTGCTCCCCCTGCCTCTCATCCTTGCTGAATCTTAAGAGCCTCATAGCAGTGGGATAAACAACTCTTCCTTCAAGGAACATGTGAATGGTCACTGATCTTCTCTTAGAGCAGGGGTAGGCCACCTTGGCTCTTTGATGACGCGTGGACTTCAACTCCCAGAATTCCTGAGCCGGCATGGCTCAGCTTGGAAACCTCTCCCTTTCCCCCTCAGCATGGCTGGCTCAGGAATTCTGGGAGTTGAAGTCCACGCCTCACAAAAGAGCCAAGGTGGCCTACCCCTGTCTTAGAGGAACACTCGGTAAGCTTTCACAAAAGCCAGGCCTCTCTCAGGCAAAAGGACCGAGCCAGCCCATTCAATTGTGCAACCTTTCAAAAAAAGCCAAAAGCATGTCTTGCTTGGCCCCGGTTGAGTCAAGAGGAGGCCTCAACACAGCCAACTCCAAAAGGCCAAGAGGAATTTGTGTTTGTGTGTGTGGGAGGGAGGAACAGTTGGGACAATAGTTGACCGCACTTGCTTCAAATTTAGTGTTTTCCTTCACATTTGGAATAGTTCTTGAGAAAAACGAACGCTTGTCAATGTCCACCTTTTTGATATTGAAGCCGTGGAAGTAAAAACTGAAGGAATCCATGTGGAAGACCTGGAAACGGCAGAAGTTCTATAAAAAGAACTCCCAGCCAAGGTGACAAGGATGGATCTCATAGCTATCTTAGTGTCCTCCAAGGACACCAGAAAGGGCATCTTTGTATCTCCACCATGGATGCTTTTCTGTCTTCTCTTTTTTTCTGCCTTTTGCCGAACAGAGCTGGGTACCAACTGGTTCCTACTGCAGTTACTAAATTAAAGATATCTGTCTGAGCATCATTAGACAGCGTGAGTCTGGGGTTACACTGAATAGGTGCCCTTCAGCATCTAAATCCCAATGGTTATTATTGTTTTAGAATTCACCACCATCTATCATTTGGGCCATTGTGGCAATGCCAAAACTGTTCACCTCTTAAATGTCCAAGAAAACATGCAAATTCACTCTTTCTGAATTTTTTTCTGTTAATCGAATTAATCAGTGGAACAAGTTGCCTCTAGAAGTTCTGGGAACTCCAACACTGGAGATTTTTAAGAACAGGTTGGATGTCTGAAATAGTAGGTTGGACTAGAAGACACCAAGGTCCCTTCCAACTTTGTTCTTCTGTTCTTCTGTTGTCTAGATTAATTTGCAAGTAATCAGAGATCTGAATCAGAGGCAGAAAGAAGGATCCTTTGATGCGATGACTGTATATTTCCCAGTGGGCCCTATTTTAAAGGTATCCTGCATGTTTAATATACTTTTGTTTAAGTGACAAGTATTAAAAAAAAGGTTCTTGTTTGCAAAAAACCTCTGGTCACGCGTGCTTTAAACAATGGGATAAACATAGGTTGCCTGTCTCTGTCTGTCAAGTGAATTATATACTATTCCCTGAAAGAGCTTTTTTTCCGGGCTGCAAACCAATATTACCTAAAAAATGGCTGTTCTCTGGTCAGCAGAACACGCTGCTGAGGCTGGTAGCATATAACGCTCCAGTTATTTACCAGCAAAGTCGTTTCACTGTCTAAACACTCAGCAGGTGATTTTCACATGTCCAGATTGGAAAACGGCAGTCAACCACCATCCTAGTCATCAGAAGATAATTCAGTTTTTTTTTTCTCCTTTGGAACCCTCCCTGAAACGCCCCTGGCCAGTCTCCTGGACTACACTTCCTATCAGATTCAGCCAGAAGAGGGATGCCATTTTCAGCCAGAAGAGGGATGCCAGAAGAGGGATGCCAACTGAAGAGGCTGATATTTGCTGGTTGAGGACTTGAAAAGCTGGCTTCGGTTTTGTTGAAAGAGAGACGCTTCATGTCCAGGGTGATTGTGTCCCAATGCTGGGCAACTGAGCACCAACAATAGTCCGTTTCTAAGAAAAGCAGACCTTTCTAAGCTGCATTCCTGTTTCCTAAAATTTATTAAGGATATATCTGATATGATATGATAGCACTGTTCCAATATCTTGAGGGGCTGCCACAAAGAAGATGGGAGTCAACCTATTCTCCAACGTGCCTGAAGGCAGGACAAGAAGCAATGGATGGAAACTAATCAAGGAGAGAAGCAACCTGAAACTAAGGAGAAACTTCCTGACAGTGAGGACAATTAATCAGTGGAACGGCTTGCCTTCAGAAGTCGTGGGCGCTCCATCACTGGAGGTTTTTAAGAAGAGATTGGACAGCCATTTGTCCAGAATGGTATAGGCCGGGTCTCCTACTTGTGCAGGGGGGGTTGGACTAGAAGACCTCCAAGGTCTCTTCCAATTCTATTATTCTGTTATATCTGGGGAGAAAGCATTGCAATTTTCTCCTCTCTCTCCCTCTCTCCCTCTCTCTCCCCCTCTCCCTCTCTCTCTCTCTCTCTCTCTCTCTCACACACACACACACACCAAAACATTCTGAATCAAAAGCACTGCTAAATCTTGCATTTTTCCTCAGCTATCAGAAGCATTGCTCAGGCCTTAATTTAATAGGAATCCAATGGTAATGCAACAAAGCTGTTCATAGTACATTAATTCCGCTTCTATTTCATGCAGCTAGTTTTTCAAGCAAACACTGTAATCATTTTAGAGTTATGTAAGCTTTTAATGGCTGCTGGAGGCCTGTTGCAATCAGTGTCAATTGCTATTAGGTACGTAAATTGTTATGTAAAGCATATCAGGCTGACATTCTGCATCAACATAACAGGGGAAAAAAAAATTCAGATAGCAATAGTAATAGCAATAGCACTTAGAGTTATATACCGCTTCACAGTGCTTTACAGCCCTCTCTAAGCGGTTTACAGAGTCAGACTGTTGCCCCCCAACAATCTGGGCCCTCATTTAACCCACCTTGGAAGGATGGAAGGCTGAGTCAACCTTGAGCTAGTCAGGATTGAACTCCTGGCAGTGGGCAGAATTAGCCTGCAATACTGCATTCTAACCACTGTGCATCATGGATGGATGGATGGGCAATAGCAATAGCACTTATATACCGCTTAACAGTGCTTTACAGCCCTGTCTAAGCGGTTTACAGAATCAGCCTCTTGCCCCCCAACAATCTGGGTCCTCATTTGACCCACCTCGGAAGGATGGAAGGCTGAGTCAACCTTGAGCTAGTCAGGATTGAACTCCTGGCAGTGGGCAGAATTAGCCTGAAATACTGCATTCTAACCACTGCGCATCATGGATGGATGGATGGATGGGCAATAGCAATAGCACTTATATACCGCTTAACAGTGCTTTACAGCCCTCTCTAAGCGGTTTACAGAATCAGCCTCTTGCCCCCCAACAATCTGGGTCCTCATTTGACCCACCTCGGAAGGATGGAAGGCTGAGTCAACCTTGAGCTAGTGAGAACTGAACTGCAGGCAGCCGGCAATCAGCAGAAGTAGCCTGCAGTACTGTGGTCTAACCACTGTGCCACCACCCTAGTATTTCCAAATAAGGCTCTCTTCCTTTAAAATGATTTGTAAAACACGGATGACTCAAAACACATCCTTTATGACATCATCCCATCCATTGTAGGGGATATTTGCACAGAATTTAATGATTGTTTTTAAATAGTGGTTAAGTCCTCCATCGAAACAGTTCTTTGCGTGGCGTTCTGTTAGACTCAAGATACATTAAATGTTATTTTTACGTCTGAAATTTACTTTACAGCAAGCGGTCTTGCTGAAATGTCCCTTAGACTTGTACACCCTTCCCCCCCCCAACGTAAAAACTGGGTAGGATGCGAGTAAATGTTATTTTTAAACTCAAGCAACTATTATAGGTACCAACTGATTTAAAATATTTTTTTTTCTCCTACACTGTTTTTTTTTTAAAAGAGGAAAATAACAGAAGCATTTTACAGTTATTTCTGGCTTGGCTACGCATTTCAAAAATCAGAATGATGCAGTCTCGTTAAGCTAATTTGCAGAGTAAGTCTTGCTAGTAAAAAGCAATTTCTTCCCAAGAGAGTGCAACAGGGTTGCAGACCAAATTTCTAGGAGCAGTTGATCTGGAGGACTTTATGGAATAGGGCAGGGGTCTTCAAACTTGGCCCTTTGATGACTTGTGGACTTCAACTCCCAGAATTCCTCAGGCAGCGTGCTGGCTGAGGAATTCTGGGAGTTGAAGTCCACAAGTCATCAAAGGGCCAAGTTTGAAGACCCCTGGAATAGGGAATGAAAAGGGGAATCAATCTAGGAAACAACCCAAGGCCAATAAGTGGATTCTTACGAGTGCCAGGATTCCCACTTAATGTAATCTAGACCCCCAAGGTGCACAGATTGCCTGCAGAAGGGCAGGGATTTAGTATTAGCAGGGCATTCCCCAAACGTGGAGAGCTTACTCAAAGTTGTTGGGAAAAACCAAAAACCCTGCAGACGTTTGGTATGCCTAAATACCTCTCGGGAGGTCAACTTGACTTGGATAATAAAAATAGAATGCAAAATTAAAATTAAAATTAGGGTCCCACCACCTTTAAAGTTGTCCCTTCTTGCCAAGTCAATCACATTCAAAGCCTAAATTCTTTTAAACGGCACACACACATACAAAAAATGCAACGAAAATTCTACTTACTCTGCTTAAAACCGAGGTAGGGTATTCGTTCAATGGGCGTTTTTCTTTCTTTCATGTATTTATAAAGTGCCACGAGGAAGGCCTGCTCATCTGCTCTGCATTCCTCGCGAACAGAAATCTTGGATTTATTCTCGTTGGAGCCCTTTTTACAGTTGCTGTTGTTATTTTTGGTTTTGGACAAAGGTAACCTAGCCTCGCATTTTACCTGGAGGAAAAGAAGAGATGGCAGATTTAAGTCTTGAAAACTGGCTCCGTTCAGTTTTCCTTCCCCTCTGACCCCATCACAGCTCCTCTTTCTCGGAAGGCTGAGTCGTTGCACTGTTGTGTCTTCACGTTGAAACTTTTCTCGGCGCTCAAGTTGCTCTGTGCTTCCTTCCACCTGGTCCCATCTGCAAAGTATGCAAAGTGTGATGGGCAAAGGCAGGCCACATTAAGTCTGCTTGGTGGCCCTGAAGCTCTGCTGGGGGGGGAGGCAAACTCTTTTACTTCATTTTAATATATGACCAAGACACAGATTTCTGGGTGAGCGTTTGTGCTTAGGAGCTGCCTTCGTTTAGGGGGGTTGATCTCTTCCCAGCAATGCACACACTGCTTGCCTCTCCCAGTTCTTTGCCCTCCTCGTCCCTTTCAGCTGAGGAAGCTGGTTCCCAATTCCATCCTTTGGGCAGGCAGAAAGGAAGCTCTTCACCCAGTGAAGAATTTCAGTGGGCAAGAGAAGGCAGGACACCTAGAGAAAAGATTCTGCAGGAGATACTTTGTTAGACGTGGCCTTCTGAGACTGTGAGTACTTATCAGGCGGAAAATGTCCTGGACCTGCCCAGCCAGAAGTGGCGGCTACGGGGAACGCACAGGCATTGTTGCTACTATGAAGTGCCCTGGTTCCCTGCTGCTGTCTCCACTCAGTTTGAGGCCTTGGTTCTTAAAACCACCTGGTAGGACCTTTTCTGTTATGTTGTCTATCCCCTAGAACAGGGCTTTTCAACCTTTTCACCCATTGTACCACTTTTAGGATAGGGCAACATCCAAGTACCACCAGTCGCCTAGCAAGGTGTCAAAAACTTGATGACCAAAAAAAAAAAAAGGAAAAAAGTGATAAAGTACAGGTAGTCCTCGACTTACAACAGTTTGCTTAGTGACTGTTCGAAGTTACAATGGCACTGAAAAAAGTGCCCCCCAAGCCACAGCCGAGCAAGACACCTGCCTGCCTGCCTGCCCGGTGGCACTCTTCCTCCTGTCCGAGGTTTTCATTGTTGTGAGCATTTCTGTTGAGGATTGGCAGCAGGGGTGGGGTGGGGGGGGTGTTTGGTTTTTATTCCCCCTGTCTGCTGGGTGGTTGCAGCAGGTTTTGGTCACTTCACATGACCCTGGGACACTGTGACCATCATAAATATGAATCAGTTGCCAAGCATCTGAATGTAAATCACAAGACCCTGGAGAGGCTGCAACATTCCAGCTGATTGGCATTTCTTCTGGGCTCAGCAGAAGTGGCAGGATCAGTGCTGCTTTCCAGCTGATTGGTGCTTCTTCAGGGCTCAGCAGAAGCACCAGGATCAGCGCCAAGCTCCAACTAGAGCCTAGCGCTGATCCTGGTGCTTCCACTGAGCCCAGACAGCCCTGCAGCTCCAGCCATCTCTCGCTCGGGCTTGTGCGGTGCTGCTACCGGTTCAGCTCATTCCCCTCTCCTGGTATCACTTTTCTAGGATGGTCGTGTACCACCTGCCAGGTGCCAATGTACCACAGGTGGTACCCGTACCACTGGTTGAAAAGCCCTGCCCTAGAACATGAGGCACTGTCCTGCTTTAAAGGGACCACCATGACCTGCCCCCAAAGCTAGAGTAGAAGAATGTGCCTCTGTGGGAGTTTTATTAACAGCTCAACGTAGGAGTCTCTGGCAGAAACTCTATGGCAGGGGAGTAGGCCACCTTGGCTCTTTTATGACTCGTGGACTTCAACTCCCAGAATTCCTGAGCCGGCATGGCTCAGCTTGGAAATCTCTCCCTTTCCCCTCAGCATGGCTGCTCAGGAATTCTGGGAGTTGAAGTCCACGAGTCATAAAAGAGCCAAGGTTGCCTACCCCTGCTCTATGGGGGACACACAAAGGCACCACAAAGCAGTCTGAGGTCTGTGAATGGGCAGCCTTGAGGCCATCACTCTTCTTTTGGACATTTCTTTGAATGGTGGTGGGAAAGAACAACAGGCCTTGAAATAATGGACATCCAACATTCCTGGAGCATAAAAATTAAGGTGGTGTTGGCAATAAGCCCATCAGCCTTGAGAAACAAAAAAATTCAGGGGGATGGTCAAGAATGACATCTCCCCCTGCATCCTGAGGACATGGGATCTAAAAGGTAGCCTCTCCTGTGGAATACTAATAAATGAGGGCATTTGGTATTGGGCCAGATCCTTCATGACAATGGTGACCAAGTTGAGAACAGGCCTACCACATGGATCTCAATGGATCAGACAGCCATTACTAGCCTTGCGGGTCTCCTACACTTTCTAAGGATAACAATGCTGGAAAGTAAGTATTTTTTTCCCTGTGTGACTGAAGTACAAGAGCCCTGAGTTTATTTATTACTTGCAAAGTATTTATGGAAATATAAGAATTTTTTTAAAAAAACTAGTTTGGTGTCAGACAAGCTTCTCAACTATAGAACATCCCAGGAATATTTGCAAGACTATGTCTTGTCCAATGATAAGCATATCAATTGATTTGGATGCTCAAAAAATAAAACGGAAAAAAAAAGAAAGAAAGAAAGAAAGAAAGAAAGAAAGAAAGAAAGAAAGAAAGAAAGAAAGAAGAGTAAACGGCGGGATACCATGAATTCTTTCATACGAGAAATTTCCATTAAATCAAACTAGTGCACGCCAAGCCTTTATTATGTAGTACAATCTTAAATAAATGACTATTTCAGGTGCTTATTGGTATTAAAAAATCCTTGTCAGAAAGGAGACGGAAGAGGTACACGATATGGATTCAGTACAAGAAAAAGCACACACGCACTCCTATACAAAAGAGACCTTTGAAGGCTGCATAACTTAGCAGGAACATTTTCTTCATATGTTCATGACCAGAGTGGTGTTTCCATAAATAAAATATTTGGTATAAATGTCTTGTGGCGAGGCATGAATTCGTTCTGTTAAAATCTGGTGAGAGACCATCTTATTTTATTGTGGGCTCAAAGTATAGTTTAAAAGCTGCCGTTGGGAAATGGGTTTCCTTATGGGCCTTTTTAAGAGGAAATTTCCAGCATTTGTGCTGAAGGGAAAAACTTAATGTGCCCACACAGCAGAAGGTCTTTAAAACTTGGGGAGTCTCTTGGGACTTAGATTACTCCAAGGGAAACTTGGGTTCCCAATTTCGCTGAGGGTCAAACTATCTGTGGCCAGCAACTGCATCCCTTGGATGTAAAGTCACGTCGTCTCGTGCTGAGAGAGAAAATTAGAGCCAAAATGAATTGACCATTCCTATCAATCAAACAATCCATGGGAGGGGTCTGTTTTGAATTTAGCAAAGCATTGGGGGGGGGATTGGGAGGGGGGCAGTGGGAAGGGCAAACTGATACCCATCTTTTCAGCATTAGACGGTTGATATATGTGCTATTAATTAACACCCTAATTAGATTATTTTTTTTTGACAGATGAAAAAGAAGAACAGTTTCAAAATTCCGTGATGAAATTCTGAGGAGTCATTTTCCTTGTGAAATAAATTCAGCCTTTCTTTCCTCTTTTAAGAAACTCTGGTCACGTTATTGTCATCCTACGGCTTGCGTGTTTTATATTGCAGCCCTGACTGCAGCTGAGAATGGGTCTCAGACACCCAGAGTTTTTTGGGTTTGGTTTTGTGAGCAAAACAAATTCTTAGAGGAGTGGGAGCATGTTAGCAAGAAAGGAACATACATCAGTTACGTTGTTTATTTGTTGGACTTACATGCTGCTTTAATTGCTGCCAACTGTTAAGCCGATTATGCAGTCAAGAACTCAGATTAAACAACACAATAATAATCAACGTAACCTACAGCGACGGTGAGAGAGGGCAACCTCATCGTGTGGCCACTGCTGAGGCCTGCTGAAGCAGCCATGTTTCCCTGGTTTTCCTAAACTTTAGGAGGGTTGTGGTTGAAGAGCAGGGCTTTTCAACCAGTGGTACAGGTACCACCTGTAGTACATTGGCACCTGGCAGGTGGTACGCGACCATCCTAGAAAAGTGGTAGCAGGGGAGGGGAATGAGCTGAACCGGTGGCAGCACCGCACAAGCCTGAGCGAGAGATGGCTGGAGCTGCAGGGCTGTCAGGGCTCAGCGGAAGCGCCAGGATCAGCGCCGGGCTCCAGCTGGAGCTCGGTGCTGATCCTGGTGCTTCTGCTGAGCCCTGAAGAAGCACCAATCAGCTGGAAAGCAGCACTGATCCTGACGCTTCTGCTGAGTCCAGAAGAAGCGCCGATCGACTGGAATGTTGTAGCCTCTCCAGGGTCTTGTGATTTACATTCAGATGCTTGGCAACTGATTCATATTTATGACGGTCACAGTGTCCTAGGGTCACGTGAAGTGACCAAAACCTGCTGCAACCACCCAGCAGACGGGGGGAATAAAAACCAAACACCCCCCCACCCCACCTCCGCTGCCAATCCTCAACAGAAATGCTCACAACAATGGAAACCTCGGACAGGAGGAAGAGCGCCGCCGGGCGGGCAGGCAGGTGTCTTGCTCGGCTGTGGCTTGGGGAGGCACTTTTTTCAGTGCCATAGTAACTTCGAACAGTCACTAAGCGAACTGTTGTAAGTCGAGGACTACCTGTGCTTCATCACTTTTTTCCTTTTCTTTTTTTGGTCATCAAGTTTTTGACACCTTGCTAGGCGACTGGTGGTACTCGGATGTTGCCCTATCCTAAAAGTGGTACAATGGGTGAAAAGGTTGAAAAGCCCTGTCGTAGAGAACGGGGCTGCCAAGCGGACTTCTTGGTCCCTGATGGTGCCTTTGCCTGAGAGAAGCAATGTGGAGGGAGCTACTCCTTGTATCTTTACTGAACAGGCAGATATAACTGGGAACAGGTGGCCAAACAGCATTTTGAAGGCAACCACCATGAACTACATCCACAAGCCAAGCAGCCATCAACACAGCTCTCAAAGCAGAGCGATTGCATGGGGAACAGAGGTGTGTCCGTAACTATTTCAGCTATTGCATTCTGGACCTCCTGTGGCTTCCAAGTGAGGGCAAGGGCATGAAGGAGACGTTGCAGTAGTCCAGGTGGGAGGTGACCAAGGGATGAGTTACTGTGAGGAAAATCTCCTAGTCCAGGAAGGGTCATAACTGGCACATTATACAAGGTCCCCTTAACTACATTGGGTTGAGGTCTAAGGCTGAGCATCATCACACTACTGATGATGCCTGATCTGTGTTGATGGGTGATCTCCCCGTGGCTTCATGTAGATACTAAATCAGAATGGAGGAGCATGCAGGCCTAGAACTCAACGTCCTCCCTCAATGATCAGAACCGACCCTGTAGAAGGAGAACTACTGCAAAAGCAGCATCTCCGGTCTCAACCCTGGGAGACGATCCAGAGGGATAGCACAGTGGGGGCTGTTCAAAGTCAGTGACACTGGGGACTTGCCCACCCCCACCTTGGTCCCGCCAAAGGCAGCCACATGTGGAATCCGGGTAGACTTGGTGCTGTACCCTGGACAGATTGAAAATAATTCAGATACGCTGTTTCCTCTAGCGGTGGACCCCATTTATGACCAAATTACTGATCTAGAATGGGATACATATGATCCCTTCAAACAAAAATCTTCCTAAATAAGGCAGGCGAATGGATTGTGTAAATCATTTATTCATTTTGTTTGAACTGGTCCACTACGTCACTGACCAGGTTGGGAATGTAACTAAAGTATATTTTCATGTTTTGCCCGAAGCCCTCCAAAATAAACCTCCGAGCAAAAGTTATTAATTGGCTTCTGAAAAAATGTCTGAAGCCACCTGAGATGGAGCGAGACAGCAACTCTTCAACCCGACCAGTATTTATCTCCAGTCTTGCACACAGAGCCTTTGCAGACAGGCTCAAAAGAGGAGAAAGGATGTGCAAAAGCAGACAAAAGACTGCATGAAACAGTTACAGTTCTCCAGTTGTTTCCAATTCATCCGCTGGCATGCTATCAACATGCAAAGGGCATATAATCCTATAGCAGGGGTGTCAAACTCAATTTCATTGAGGGCCGCATCAGCATTGCGGTTGCCCTCAGGGGGCCGGGTGGGTGTGGCCAGGGTGGGTGTGGCCTACTGGGTGGGCATGGATGGAGTGGGTGTGGCCTACTGGGTGGGCATGGCCAGCTCTACATCGTTCGTGTCAAGGGTGCCTGTGGGGGCCTGGGCAGGAGTGGGACAGATCTGAGGGTCTCTGGCAGAAGGGGGTGGGACCGGGGCAAGGGCCAAGGCATGGTCCATTTTTTCATTCCTCACAAAGAGTGACACCTCCCCAGCATGCACCCAGGGGGTGGGGCCAACATGGCAGAGGCTGGTTCCTCGCTGTTTCTCGACGGCCTTGTGGAGCTAAGACTGAATATGTTTCAGCATAGATGGCCACCACAAAATTGTACATTGGCTCCCGACCGGCCTGGGCCAGGGCCAAGGCAGCGGGGGCCGTTCCCTCACTGTTTCCAGGATGGCTTCGCGGGCCACATGAAACCACTTTGCAGGCCGCATCCGGCCTCCGGGCCTTGTGTATGACATGTCTGTCCTATAGGGTGACTCACTGTTTACTACCAATACATGACTAGGCAGACCGCGAACTATGCAAAGTGGGCCACAAAGGAAGAACACTTTCTGGCCAGCTGGAGGAGGTCCCACACTTTTTGTGGAGTTCCAACCTCAACCATCACATTTTCCACCGGTTATCTCTGAACCATCAGGATGCCTGTCAATCTTATTTACAAACTAACAGCCCTTGTGTACCTAACGGGCCGCACAACTAAACTGCGAATTCAAAATTAACAAGTCTTACGTGGTTTAACGTTAGAGTGAAAACTATTGCTAGCATCCATGAAGTAGGAAGCAGACAAACGTAATAATTTAAACAACACAAAAAAATGTAATACAGGTAGTCCTCTCAACTTACGACCACAACTGAACCCGAAATTTATGTTTTTAAGTGAGAAATTTGTGAAGCGGGTTTTGCCCCATTTTGTGACTTTTCTTGCCACATTTGTTAATGCAGTTAAATTAGTAACACCGTTGTTAAGTGGATCTGGTTTTCCCGTTGATTTTGCTTGTCAGAAGGTTGCACAAAGGGATTCCATGACCCTGGGACACTGTGACCGTTGTAAATGTGAGTCAGTGGTCAAGTATCTGAATGTAAATCACGTTGACCCTGGGGATGCTGCAACGGTCACAAGTCTGAAAAATGGTCCTAAGTCATTTTTTTTCCAGCGCCGTTGTAACTTCAAATGGTCACTAAATTCAACTGTTGTAAGTTGAGGACTACCTGTACTGTCACCTGACTTCTTGGAGCCTCGATTCGGCTAAAAAAAAAAAAATCAAATGGGAATTCTTCTCTCAAAAGACCTCCACCTGTTAAGTACAGAGGCTTGGCTCAGGAAAGGAGGCTTTTTTGGGGGGGAACTGCAAGAAGCAGTTTGACCGACTTTCCTATTTCCTATTGCGGAGAACTCGTCATTTTCCCATTTTTCAATGGCCGGGAGAGGAAAAAGCGCGAAGCAGGGGTGGAAAAAGCCTCTCATCTTTCGGAGGCCTTTGCTCTCCCCCATTAGAACAATCTAATTTGTGGCATTAAAGATTCCGAAAGATTTAAACAATCCGGCATACTGAAAAACGTGGGAAGAATCTTCAGGGGGGGCGCTGCCGTTTCTTGAAACGTCAGCTAGGAACTTCTGAAAAGAGGCAAGGTCCAAGTGAATTAAGTTTACCCTACCGACCGAAACCTCTTGTTACTGATAGTTGGGCATAAACAGCGGTCTTCGGAGAGGGAGGGGGTCTGTCACAGAAGCAGTTTTACGTGGGAAAGACCCAAACTCGTGGGCTGAGGATGCTGCGCCCTGCAGCGGGAACAAGGGGCGACCTTCCACGGGTTTTACTGAATTAGGATGGTGCCTCCATGGCCACAGTCTCGTTTTTGGTCTCCAATGACTGCTCTTGCAACTAGCCCAAGGAGTGAACCAGACTCACCTTTTGTGCACCATTACTCCTCCGCCCTCCCCCCCACAATTCCAACTATCCTTCAAGATAGGGCAGGTCCACCCTTGCAATGGTGGGTAGGAGCCTGCCCACCATCTTCCTTTGGTCCATTTCTTCTCCTCCCCCTCTAACTTCCATGATGGGACCTCCTGGAACCTTGCCCCATCTACTCAGCAGTCGGATCCGCTTAGCTCTGACTTCAGGTAAAGCCACTGGCTGCAACGGCCCCTCCGAAAGGAGGCTATGAAAGTTACCCAAAGGAGAGGGGAGCATTTCTGCTCCCCAAAACCTGCCTCGTAGGATTGACTCTTCAGCTCCTTCCCCAGACCCCTGTCCTCCCCGTGAAACACTGCCCTGAAAAAGAAGAGCAAAACTCATCCGGAAAAGAAATTTGGGGAAGGTGCCGAAGCTCCTTACCTTGGCCACAGTTTTGCCTTCACAATTATTCTGGGGATCTTTATTGCCGCTGAACGAATCTCTTCTCTGTGGGTTGCCGGACTTTTTCTTCCGTGGTCGTCCTTTGAGGTTGGGAGCTGAAAACAAACAGGCGACAGTTCAGCCCAATTCCTTACACGAGGGCAAAATCAAATTAATCTCCTCCACGAGCGAGCTGTGAGCAGACCAGTGACAGATCTTCCCTGAAAGAACTCTCCAAAGTTGGGCTGTTTCTAGGTCACATGTTCCTGTGGCCGTTTCCACCCCCCTCCCGCCCCGCCGTGACTTGGAGTGCCTTCACAGCATCACAGCCATCAAACAAAGCCTGTCTGCATTGCTGTTATTTTGGCACAATGGGGCTTGGATGGAGTTGTTAGCGAGAAATGACCTATATTACATTTGCTCCTGGCTCATATAGTGCTGTTTACATTTGAAAAGAGCTAAAGATAACCACAAAGTGCCTTTTGCAGAGCTAGGAGGAAGCGGCAGATATGTGGCTACTCCTTGTGGGCATGCACTTAACAGAAGAACAGAAGAGTTGGAAGGGACCTTGGAGGTCTTCTAGTCCAGCCCCCTGCACAAGAAGCAGGAGACCCATACCATTCCAGACAAGTGGCTGTCCAGTCTCTTCTTAAAAGCCTTCAGTGATGGAGCACCCCAACTTCTATTTCACTGGTTGTCCTCACTGTTAGGAAATTTCTCCTTAGTTCTAGTTTGCTTCTCTCCTTGATTGGTTTCCATCCATTGTTTCTTGTCCTGCCCTCTGGTGCTTTGGAAAATAGGCTGACCCCCTCTTTTTTGTGGCAGCCCTTCAAATATTGGAACACTGCTATCATGTCACCCCTAGTCCTTTTCACGGTGGTGACCTGTAACTTTCTTTTCTGGCCATTTCCTATGAGGACAGGACATTAGAGGAGGTCACCTCTGCTGGCAGGGAAGCAAGGAGAGGACCACAGTCATCGAGGGATTCCTGTATTCTCAACCGTTCAAATGAAACTATCCTTTGCCAAATTGGTGTTTAATGCAGGGCTTTTATTTACAGTGCCCAGAAACTCCAGATTTACAGAAAATCAAACCATTCTGAGTCATGTTTTGAAAACTCACGTATAGATATATAGGTCACTCCCTTTTCTGCCAGCAAGCATTTCTTGATGATGATTATGAGAAAAAAAAAAACAATGGGGAAAGGAAAGGAGTTGTTGGGTATGGAAAATGAGCTCTATAAATTCAGCCTCGAAATTTCAACAACCTTCAGCCCGAGAAACCATCATTAATGGGTGATTGACAACTCTTGAGTCTTTGAGAGTAACCCTTGTTTTCATTACTTCTAGGGATGATTGTAACGATGTCAGGAATCTAAACACCCCAAGCCTCTTGAGTGCCTTTTAATTGTTTCTAATCTTACATTTGTCACACAAGAGGTTTTAGGACGTTCGACATTTTAATTAGCTCTCTGAAGCAAGGCGGTGCTAATTTGATCCCGATGTTTCCTGGGAGTGTGGAAAGACAGCCGTTGCCAGCTATTCCCCACCTGTTTCCTCCAGACACACCCACAGCCCCTGCTTCAGGAACTGTCATCGGCCAGAAGTCCGAGGTGGTCGTCTGAGCGGACGGGGCCGGCACGCAAGAGAGGCAGAGCAGGAGCGGGCGAGCCAGCAAGGAAGGCAGGAGAAGGAACAGTTACCATCCCAGATGGCAAACATCTGCCTGATTTATCTTTGACTGCTGGACCCTGCAGCTGAGTGGCTGAGCACCGCACAACCAGTGGTGGCATTCAGCCGGTTCGCACCACTTCGGCAGAACTGGTAGCTAATTTTTTTTGTTGTTGCCCTGGTCCAGAATGGACTTCCGGAAGCGGCATCCACGCAGAGAACCGGTTGTTCGCCTATTTGAATCCCACCACTGTGTACAACCATCTCGGGAAGCCTTCTCTGTGGCTTGTCTGTTTTGTTCCCTCAAGAGCTGTGCTTGGCACTCCCCACTGCCCTGCTGACTGCTCCCTTGCTCACAGAAAGTCCAATGAAGGCAGCCGAGGGAGGGATGTGCAGCCTTTGCAAATGTACAGTAGTGGCCAAAATTGTGGAAACCTTTTGGGAAAAGTGTACAGTAGAAATGCCACCTTTGGTTAAGTTTCCACCCGTTTTTCTTCCAATTTCTTTATAACCGTAGCCTTGTTCACTTCATAATACTGTTTTACATCGCTTTCTGACCAACCAGTCAACTCTTTGCACCATGACTTTAATTTTATTACGTTTTACAAGCTGACTCAATGAAAGAACACAAAAAAAACCCCAACCAACTGGATAGCGATCACATAACACACTGACCAATGTCCTCCTCTCAGCTTCAATACAGGACATCAATCACTGGATCCTACTGTGATCCGATTGGCTCAAGGCCAAAACAAGAGGACACCCGATTGGCTCTCTAAACACTCACCCTCATTGGCTACCATCAGATGAAGGAAAGCTACCTGAGATCCACCTGAGCAAGTTGTGCTTCCTTTTTCCGGTTATTTGGCTATCGCTTTTCACAGAATACAGTACAGATAATTGAACAAACTATGTTGCATTACGTTCTTGATTAAATTATCTTTCCACTGATATATATATATAATTTTATGGTACTACTCGCCCCCAAAAAGTGGTGTTATTAGCCATCAAACCTCAAAAATACACTTTTCCCAAAAGGTTTCCACAATTTTGGCCACTACTGTAGCTCATGATTGCATTGTGATGGGTCCGCTGCACTGACCTCCTCCCCTGAGCAGACAGAGATCCTCCAAAGAGTAAAGGAGGAGGAAGAAGAGGACGCGGCAGCCTTGGTGCTATTCCCCTCCAAAGAGAGGGCCTCAGCCCCAAGGGCACTCTGGATTCATTGATTTAAAAAATCCGGCTGGCTTTGCAAAAGGGGAACAAATTCCAGTGGAGCAAAACCCCTGGAAGATGCTCAGATGGCAGGTCTAGATTCCCTTCTGGCCCAGAAGCAGAGGGGGCCGTAATGAATGAAGCGGGGCTGGTTCCCAGCAAGGAATTTCGGGCAAAGACTTAAAAACTTAAATGGAGCAATGGAGCCTGTCTGGCCTGGAGGGAAAACACACCCCAGCCTCCCCCCCCTCTTACTTTTCATCCCTTCAGTAACTTGCTTTGCTTTCTTTTTCTTAATAACATAATTTGACAAAGATTTTAATTACAACAGTAAAAATGAATAACAAACTAAACTTAGAGAAAAAGAAGAGAACGGAAAGAAAGAAGAAAAAGAAATGAGAATAAAGAAGAGAACTATATAAATAATTCATCTCCAACCTTCCCAACAATTATAAACCAATTTAATAATGCTTTACCCCCGGTGAGGTTAAAAATATCTCTTCATCTCATATCCCAGTGATAGTGAACCTTTTTAGAGACCGAGTGCCCAAACTGCAACCCCAAACCCACTTATGCATCGTCGGGTGCCGGGCGGGTGTGGCCCATTGGGTGGGTGTGGCCCATTGGGTGGGCGTGGCTGTGGTGGTAACGGCAGACTGGGTGGGACGAAAAAGTTCAATCAATCAATTCCAACTTTGCAAGATCTTTTTTTTTCCCACGAGAAGTTGAAATTGACTGATTGATTGAACCTTTTTTCTTTTTTTTGCACACGGCGGCGGAGGCCTAAAGCGAAAAGGTTTTATAAAACCCAGCTGAAGGCCTAGGACTGGGGCGACGGCGCGCGTGCCCACAGAGAGGGCTCTGCGTGCCGCCTCTGGCACCCGTGCCATAGGTTCACCACCACTGTCATATCCCATTCCTTATCTATAAGCAAATCTCTAAAATATGAATCCTGGTGTCAGCAAAAGTCCATAAAGAATGGTTAGAACATTGAAAAAAAGGTCTTAAATTTTAACCTTGATCACATAAACCAACTTCGTGTTTCTTCGTTTACGTCCGTCTTAAGTTTTCATTCAATCAAATGTTGTTGTAGGATTTGATTTCTCTGCAATTCTTTATCCCATTGCCCAGATTTCTTTAAGCATTTAACTTTCGTAGATCTGATAAGAAAACATTTTCCAGATCCTTCCCTTGGTTCATTGTTTGTATTTCAGCAAACAACCCCCCCCCAAAAAAATTAAGCAGCAAGAAAATGTCACTTCCCTAAAAAGCAGAAAAAGTATTGCGTACCAACGGCAGTAACGCACAACGTCTTTTTGAGGAATTTGGAGGGAAATGACTTCTTTAGAAATTTCATACTCCGGGTATGACATAATGCCATTTTAAATTGCACCATATCTGATGTATAATTAAAAAAATGAATCATCAAGGACTGTGGCGTTTCACTGGCTAGCAAAAGGCAGGCTGACATTAAAGCAGCATTTCCATTCCCTAAGCCGCTGCGCATGTGCACTTTTTCCTCTAAATGACTAACACTTCCCTCGGCTAGAAAAATAAATCATTGATAAGAAAACATTTATAGTTTCATCTATATATAGCATTCATAGTGAAACTCTTTCACAAAAATATTCGACAGTGGCCCACGTCTTGCCAAAGAATATTTGCAGCGGGAGCATTCAGGATGAAGAATATTTTGTGTTTTCTTAAACTCTTTTTCCAAGAATAATAGTAAAATAATAAAAATAAAATAAAATAGATAAAATAAAAAATAAAAATGTCAGGTGAGCATTGTGCTAACATACGCCGATGTTGTTTCGTTTTCTTTTAATCGCTTACATCAGGTCAGCCAGATTATCTCCAGATTATTTCCCCCTCAAAAAAAAGCAAACTGGAAAAAGCTTTTAAGAAGTAATAGCAGCTGATCAGAGAAGGGAAAAAAGTTGCCAGATATATAAGGAACGGTTGCTGGAATTGGGTATGTCTAGTTTAATGAAAAGAAGGACGAGGGGGGACATGATAGCAGTCTTCCAGTATCTCAGGGGCTGCCCCAAAGAAGAGGGAGTCAAGCTATTCTCCAAGGCGCCTGAAGGCAGGACGAGAAGCAACGGATAGAAACTAATCAAGGAGAGAAGCAACCTAGAACTAAGGAGAAACTTCCTGACAGTGAGAACAATTAACCAGTGGAACAACCTGCCTCCAGAAGCGGTGAATGCTCCAACACTGGGAAGTTT